AAATGAGATTCTTACTAAAATTGATTCAGGTTTAAATGAGAAATAAGTTTGTGTTATCTACCTGTACTCTTAGTGTTTAATTCATCAAGATATTTTACATTTAAAATTCTGCAATTTATATACTTGTTGATTTCTCAATATATAAAAACGAACGACTTTTAATAATTAGATCTGTTTTTTCATATATCTATAATTAGATATTAAAACACTAGATTATTGTTTTTCATTTTATTGATTGATTTAGGTCTCATAAATCTAATAATCTTGCTGAAAGGAATGTTTAGCTACGTTTCTTAATTTTTATGTTTGAACCTTTTAATGTTAAAAATAACTCAATATCATATTATTTAATCACACACATATAATATTATATTAAATCACATATAATAATTATATTATGCAGTCACATATTACACCTCGAAAAGAATACTGTCTCAACTAAAAAATTCACGATTTTCAAAAGAGAGAAAAATTAAATTCAATTATTTGAATTGTGAGATAATTGCAATTACAATAATGATATTTTGTTATAATAAAATTTATACTGTTTCTTGAAGGTTTGATTTGTCAATTCACTATGACACTATTCATCTAGGAAACTGCAATTGTAACTAATCGGTAAAAAAAATAACGACCCTTCTACTCCATGCAGCGAATTTTACATATAGATTTATTACACTATTATAGCACATAGTTAACACTTTAGGCATACTTTTATGAGCTTAATTCAAAATTAAAGTTTTTTCAGTTGTGACAGTATTCTTCTCGGGGTGCGATGTAGTTTATCACAAATATTTTATGTTATGTTTATTCAAATTTAGAAAAAGAAGGAGCGGTGGACAGCGATGATAATATAAACAATGATGATAGAGATAAAACAGTAGAGAACAAGAAAAAGAAGCATCAGAAGACTGAAGAGAAAACTTCAAAACAAGATGTAAGATATTTTTTTATTGTTTAATAAAAAATATCAATAGATAGAATATATATAAGAAGAAAATCACTGGTCACGAAATCAAAATCATTGATTAGAATACAAACATAGCTCCTCATTTATTAATTATCATATCGTATCTGTTATGTATCTGTTATATAAGATAAATTTTGCAATAAATAAACTCTTGTTTTTGGCCAAAATGTTTTAGAGCAAGAAAGACAAAAGCGATTGGAGGCGAGACAAGCTACTGACAAACAAATTCTCCGATACTGATTCCGAATCCGAGAGAGAAAAATGGAAGAAGAAACAAGAAAAAATTGCAAATGAATCGAAAGAAAATAAGTAAGTAACTTATCTTGTTTTATCTTATTTTAGAAACTGTGTACAATTTTATCTCTAATTATTTGCAGCAGCGATTCTGATGAAGAAAGATTGAAATCTAAGAAGAAGAAGAAGAAGAAGAAAGGTGCACGAAGAATCTTAGATTCGGATTCAGATGTCAAAATAACGGATGTAGATTCTGACTCTTCTGAAGCTTCAAGTGCCAAACAGAATTCAAGCGATTCAGAAAGCGATTTAAGAAGAGAAAAGGAGAAATTAAGACGGAAGAGACGCAAACGCGGTGATAGCAATTCGTCGGATACAGATTCTTCGCTTACCGAGAAGAAGTAAGTTGATAAATATTACATTTTATTTCTACCTATTCTTATTATGTACGTTTAAGCTTATGATGTTATACGATTCGTAGATCAAAACCGAAACGAAAGCGAATCAAGAAAATGGCGTCTGACAGTGATAGTAGTAATGCGGAAATTAAGAACTCGCAAGGATCCACGCCCGGTAAAAGTGGCCGGAAAAATATACGAAAAGTTTTGAAGGACAAGCAAGTGGCAGAAGATACGAAACTAGCCGCTAAGGAAGAGGAGGAGAGACTTAAACGTATCGCTGAACGTCAGGCTCTGGTATGCCCCACACTTGCGTTACCAACTTCCATTTATCATTAACACATTACACGTAGATACTTTTTTTTTACAGTATAACGAGATGTATGAGATGAGACTCGCCGGCGAAGAGAAAGTGGACAAGCTCGTTTTAGACTTTGATACAGAGACAAAGAAGGAGCTCGTTACTGTGCATGAGGAATTGGTGAAGCGTCTAAAGCCGCATCAAGCGCAAGGCATCAAATTTATGTGGGACGCTTGTTTCGAGTCTCTAGAAAGGGTGAAGACTACATCTGGATCTGGATGTATAATCGCCCACTGCATGGGCTTGGGCAAGACGTTACAGGTGATTGCGCTGACACATACGCTTCTCACTCACGAGGAGACGAACATTAAGACAGTACTGATAGTTTGTCCGCTAAGCACGGTGCTTAATTGGCTAAATGAGTACAATACATGGCTGAAGGATTTGGATGATATCGAGGTTTACGAACTGACAAAGTGAGTATTTGATACTCAACATTTAAAAGTTGTTTTACATAATTATCTTTTTATCTATAACTTTTATCCAAAGAGTATAACACAATTTCGCAGTCAGAGTTTTGATGTTATCCGAATAAAGGAAAATATTTCCAGATTTAAGAAGAATTTTGAGAGGAAGTACCAGTTGCAGAGATGGCAAAGAACCGGCGGTGTGATGATCATTGGCTACGAAATGTTCCGTAATCTTACGGGTCCGAATAAAAATATTCGGAAAGGCATGAAAGAAGCGATATTAGAATGCCTAGTTGATCCGGGTGCCGATCTTGTTGTCTGTGACGAAGGCCATTTACTAAAAAACGAGGATACTGCATTAAGTAAATGCATGAGAAGCGTGAAAACTTTGAGACGCATTGTACTTACTGGAACACCATTACAGAACAATTTAATAGAATGTAAGTATCTTATAAAATATTGGGTAAACTTCCGCATAAAGTCTTGCCGTCGCACGATTATGGTCGTTAACGCGATCATAAATAAAAATCCATATCTGTTTGTTCACGAAATATATTTACTGTAGTAAAAGCACTACTATTTACCACAAAATCATACAACAGTACTTGACATTAATTGATTTTTAAAATAATGGTTTTGTTTCGATAACTCAGTCACATATTAACGTTAATATAACTTTTGTTTTACTACAACTTTGCAACCATTTATTATGACTAATGGGTTTATAAAAACTTTTTTCTTTATTTTGATGTGAGAAATACACTCTAGAAGTTTGTCCAGGTATTTCGTGCACACTCTGTATATATGTTTTAAAAATATTTTCTGTTTATTTAACTATATTTCGCAGATCACTGCATGGTGCAGTTCGTGAAACCGAATCTGCTGGGTACGAAGAAAGAATTTTTAAATAGATTTGTAAATCCGATAACAAACGGCCAGTTTGATGATTCCACCGCTTACGACGTTAAATTAATGAAAAAACGTGCGCACGTGTTGCACAAAATGTTGGAGGGTAGTGTACAGAGATTCGATTACTCTGTGCTTACACCGTTCTTGCCGCCTAAACAAGAATATGTTATTTTTGTCAGATTGACAGATACGCAAGTTAAAATGTATCAATATTACTTGGAGAATCTTGCCAGGTGAGTTTCTTGAAGATCTTATATATTTATCGCGATCTCGTTTTGTTTAAACAATTTTAGTAAATTAAGTTGAATATATTACCTCGTATGCTTTTCCTCTATAGACGTCATGCTGGTGGTCAAGGAGGAACTCTCTTCGCGGATTTCCAAGCGTTACAAAGGATCTGGACGCATCCCGTAGTCCTACGTCTGAACGCGGAGAAAATAGAAAGGGCAAATGAGAAAAAAGAACTTAGCGAGTCGGAGGGTTCGTTAAAAGATTTTATTAATGACGACACTACCGATATAGAGACCAGCATTAACAGCGATTCGAGCAATGATAGTGACGTTCAGGCAGTGACGATCGATGATGATAAAAACGTTCCCAAACCTTCACGTAGAACGAGAAATAATCCTGTCGGTAAGACTCCGTAATACATATGAACGATGTTTTACACACTTTAATTGATATCAAAGAATAAATTAAATTAACATAAAGAAAATAACATACATATATGTGACGTAATAAAATAATAACAGACTAAAGATATGAAATATTAATATTAGATATTAAATTAACTTTTTAGAAGAGGAACCCGAGGAAGAGCATAAAGAAGAAAATACAGAATCAGAATGGTGGACGCAGTTTGTGCAATCCGAGCATTTTGAAGATATGAGAGTGTCCGCTAAATTGTTACTTCTCTTCGGAATTCTAAAAGAATGTGAACAGATCGGTGATAAAGTGTACGTATCTTGTATCTATCTTTTCGATAAATAATTTTCACAACGCTATTATTTATTATCGTATCGCTTATTATTTGACAGGCTCGTATTCTCGCAATCTCTGTATTCTCTCACTTTAATCGAGGAATTTCTAAGAAGAATAGACGATCAGACTCAGAACGATACGCACTATGAAACCCTCGATAATCATACCGGAAGTTGGTCTCTAGGGCTCGATTACTTCCGACTGGACGGTCAGACCTCGCCCGAAAATCGAAATATATGGTGTAAGATATTTAACAAACCCACTAACACGAGAGCGAGATTATTCCTCATATCCACACGCGCTGGAGGATTGGGAATAAACTTAACTGCGGCGAACAGAGTAATTATATTCGACGCCAGTTGGAATCCCTCTCACGATGTACAAAGCATATTTCGGATATACAGGTACTTTTCTCGGCGTCTTTCATTGTTTAAATCTTTTTTTTTTTACAATTATTTATTTCAAGTTTTTGATTTATCGACGGTCATCAGGTTTGGGCAAAAAAAACCGTGCTACGTATATCGATTTCTCGCCGCGGGGACAATGGAGGAGAAAATTTACAATCGCCAAGTTACGAAACTCTCGCTTTCTTGTCGCGTTGTGGACGAACAACAAATTGAACGGCATTACAGTAATCACAATCTAAACGAGTTGTACATGTTCGAGGGATATAATGATGAAGAGAAACCTACGTTAAATTTACCTAAAGATAGACTACTAGCGGAGATATTTCTGAAGTTCAAGGATTACGTAGAAAATTACCACGAGCATGATTCTCTATTGGAGAACAAGGTGAAAAATATATTTTTTTTTCTTTCATGTAAGTACATTTGTATATTCTACGTAACAAATTTATATTTAACAGGCTGAAGAGGAATTGAACGAAGAGGAACGCAAGCAGGCCTGGTTAGAATATGAAGAGGAGAAGAAGGGAAAACCGCCGATGATGAATACAATGCTAGTAAATCCGATGGCGAATACAGCTTATCAGAATAATATGCTTTTACAGCAGTATAATATGATGATGAATTCTGTGATGCCTCAAAATATGCAGGTTGAGTATGAAAATCTCCAACAGCTTATTCGCAAAGATGTAAGCACTCAATACTATTATATAAAAATATTATTAAATATATAAATATATATTTGTCAAACAATTGCTTAAGCACGCAAATTATTTATAATCTTGAATAATTTACAGTATCCTAATGCGACGCCGGAGCAACAGAAAATGATAACGAATCGAGCTTTAATGGAAATGTACAATTATTGGGAGAAACAAGCCACACTGTTCAATAAGCAACCTACACAACCAATACGAAATCCAGTTATGCCAGTAATAATCTATTTTATCTATTAGTAACGTTACATACTTAATGTTGACTAAAGTAATTTTAAACAATGACATTAATAAGATTTTTTTAACTGTCTTTACATGATACACAAATATATTTTAAAGTATAATATGTACATATAGTTTATATATACAGGGTGTTCAAAAAGTCCTGGGCCGGTAGGATGTCTAAAAAATGAAACATTTTAGAAAAAAATGTTAAATATAAAAGTTTCTATCACTCAGAAAGTTTTCATCGAAAAAGAATTTGTAACCAGTGTTTCCTAAATGTCTTGCTAGCAGCTATAAGAATATGTAATAAAACATAGAAGTTTTCATTTAAAAAATTCAAGGTAACCTTTTCCTGACCTTGAAGACTCATGGTCTACTAAGGCTGCGGTCCACTTGACGGCACAAATGCTTTGAAGCGTTTTTCTTCTCCTTCTTTCTTCATTGAAAGAAAGGAGAAGAGGAATGCTTCGAAGCATTTGTAGCATCAAGTGGACCGCAGCCTAATATGCCCATTTAATGCGTTGTTTGATATTTAACAACTTTTGTATTTAACATTTTTCTCTAAAATGTCTCATTTTCGAGATATCTTGCCAGCCCGGGACTTTTTAAACATCCTCTATATACATTGCGTGTTTATATATATATGTATAATGTATATCATTTTTATAATATAATATTTTACAGAATTTTCAGCAAAGACCACAAACTCCGAATTTTCAACAAAGGCCCCAAGTCCCAAACAATAGCAATGTGCACGTAAATGTAAATGTTTATTCATACACATTAAGTAGTACATTTTTTTAAATATTTATTTGTCATTTTTGTATTTTTGTAGCAACAAGCCACGCAGTTGAACCAATTACTTTCGGGACAATCGATGAATTACATAAATACGAATAAACCTGTGCAGCCAAGCGGTGCACAGATGGCAGATTTACTTCCAAATATTACATATCGAAACACTCCATCGGCTAATAATATAAGCGGAAACACGGACCAAGATATAATAGAGGTACAGTACATGCGCCATGTTGTACTATTTTGTTTCAATATTATATATGTAATATGTATATATATATTATGCTATTTATATTACGCTATTTAAATTTACAGATGATCCCTAGTACGAGTAATGCAGGTGTAACACGCCAGAGCGGAATGAGTAGCGCACAAGTAGCTGCACAGCCGATTGATAACAGTAAAATCCAGGAGGAGTAGACTTCGTACACGAATATTTTATACGAATTATTTTACGCGGTAGTATCGGTAGATTGATATATTTCTCGACTAGTTGTAAACTGAGAGAAATGCCGTATACGAAGATATTTACGTTTTCTTATGTAACATAAAAAAATAATAATACTGTGTGTCAAGATTAATTATATTTATATAATCAAGTCTGTGTAAACAAGTTGCGCGTTTACACTTTTAAAATTTTACTACACAATATATACAATTCAGGATAATATAAGATCAAATGCATTTGTGAAGATGCACATTACCAAACATTTACATAGCGAGGCTTTACTTCATACTATAAGGGTAAGAGGGATATTAGAAAAAAAACTTATATAGTTCACATGTATTGCAAGATCTTTACATGTAGCGAGGCTTTACATAAGTCACTTAAAAAAAAATCTACATTTTGCAGGTTATTAATCTATTGTTAGATTGCTTCTTGTTTTTCATTATTAGTTATTAGGTGTATATAGTATTTTCCAAACATTTTTGATAGACATATACATTGATAGTAAATATCCTAAAAAATTACATTTTCTTATCGTAAGTAAGTTATGATTGACTATTAGCACGCATTTCTGTTCAATTTCAATATATGATCATATAATTTATTAATTACATATACTATACGCGCAGACAGAGAATTCTCTCAAGTATTTAAAATATAGATATAACGCTAAATATTGTTCATTGCACTGTAATATCAGGATGTTGTGTTACGATTTTGATATTTTGGAAGAGCATTTCTCCATCCATCCTTTAGCAACACTCTGAGATATTCTTTTGTTTTTAACATTTTCGGCGAGGCCTCTATGTTAAAATCTTCCGCCCTGTCAATTCTGTGATCATATAATTCCTCCGCGATAATAATGTCCCAATCTGGTTTGCATGTCTCATGTGCGAATGGTATCCACGCGGTGTAACGATAATCACTGGTCTTCAAACTATAGCCCATTATATTTATTTCTTTCAAACGTGGCTTGTCGCTGTTAGGACGGAGCGTAGGTTGAATACCTGGTCTTGGATACTGACTGAATGCTGCCTTTTTCCAAGGTATGGTCTGAATATTTGCAAATTGCACGAGGGACAGATTATATATAAGGATGGAGAACTTTTATTTTGTATAAAATGTTTGTATAATTAACAATGCAATAAAAAGTATGCCTTACCTGACATTCCAAGGTACTTTTTATAAGTGGGAAGAGTGTGATACCCTCGCCACAAAGATCGAGCGTTTTTTTTCGAGAAATAAGAACATTTCTCGAATGCGACCGATCGTCGTCTGTATCGTTAATTTGACATATCGGTATGGGAACACCCGCTAGATCCGCGACTGTCGGAAATATATCGACGAGTTCCACAGTAGCTTCTGTAACTCGACAGTGTTTTTTGAGATGTAACGCACTGTTCCTGGTAGATTTATTACGTCCTTGTTGAATATATACTCCGGAAAGATTTTCTTTATATTTCCTTACGTATTCTGTAACTATATTCGAAACATCGATCTTTTCGACATCTAATATATCATGTATTTCGAGTTGATTTTATTTTCCATTTTACCATTGTTTGTAATTTGCGCATTATATCTTGTATGATCTGTAGGTATAGCGCTGTAATTATCGGTATCAGACGTAACCGTTGGAATTGATATTATCAAAGGTACATGCACGGCAACGTCAAAATTGCTATATTTAGACCAGACAGCATGTTCTCCAAGTGCCCAACCTATTTATTTAATATCAATTAACTATAATATAATAATGTAACACATACATGACTGTGTATATTTTATTTCATTGATTGACCCAGGCAGTACACATGTCTAAAAGACATCGTGAAGACATCTTTTAGACATACATGTCTAAAAGACATCTTAAAGACATCTTTATGGCGTCTTTTAGACATACGTGTTGTCTGGATAAACATACCATGATCGGATGTTAATATTACAATAGTATTTTCTCGGATCGTCGAGACGTATAGCAGATGTATAAGCTTGCCGATCATATTATCGATGTAAGATACGGCTGCGTAGTACGATTGAATAATTTGCTTAGCGAATTTTTCTGAAAATAGTAATGACAACCGATGAGGAGCAAAAAATGTAGAAATTTATATATATGTTTAAATATGAAATAAACATATCAATTGCGCGATATACCTGGTATCCTTTCCCAGGGAAATTTCAATTTTAATCTTGCTACATCCTTTCGCCATCGAAGATCGGTCCAAGGATTATATGCAACGTTATTTACATTTTCCGGCCACAGGTACGGTTTGGGCACTTTGAACTTCCATATGGGATGATATTCTGCAGATTGTTTATAACGCAAGCTTTACATTATTCACCTGTTTTTTTTCTATGACATTATATTATACCTACTTTACATTATTCATCATACATTATTCACCTGTTTTCTTTTATATTTTACGATTATAGAAAATATTATTGAATTACTAAAATGATATCAAATTTATTGAAAAGAGATCGCTCTCATAGATATAATGTTTCTGATTTTGTTATATAATAGAAGCTGAAACTGTACTTAGATAGCGTTCAGGATACTTGAGTGGTACGTGAGGCTTCTGAAAGCCAACAGCCAGAAAGAAAGGATCGGAGTCTTTCCTGTGCTTATGTATGAATTTTCTCGCCTCTCGTAATGTCTCAACATCGGGTAACGTTTTGTTCGGCATGGTTGAAACGCGTACCGGGCATATCTGTAAATGTGATACATCAGAGGTACGTTCCATGTAGGCGGCAACATAAAAAAGATATTGCGCGTTACGAGATTTGTTGCCGCCTCCGATTGCGAACTTGTCCTACAGACCGGAGCATTCTTGTACCGATCTGTATACGGATGGAAAGGCTTCTCGGTCCACGAATAGGGACTGTCATCCGATCCGTTAGAACTTATGCCTGTATAAATGCCAGTGTTTGATTCGTGAGCCGAGACAAGAAACGCGATTCTTGGTGAAGCGAAGAAGGGTAACTTAAATTCGACCGAACTCCAATTAATTTAATCGTCGATCAAGTAATATCTATATCGTTTTGTTACAAATAAAGTCATTAATTTTGTTGTTTAACAAAATTGTGGTAACAAAGATCAGAGATTAAGGACAACGGGAATGCAATTAGAAATTTTATTGTAAGCAATTATACCAATTGAATTAAGCGGATTAATATCCACTTCTATCAATACAGATATTTTTTAATTCTTAGAACTAGAAAAAGATGTAAGTTAAACCGTGATTAAAGTTAATCTACATTGATAGAAGAGTGGACATAAATCAGGCGGAGTTCGGTCAAAATCGCCCTGATCAACATATTCAGCGTCGAATACGTGGTATATAAGTGTGGCAGAGGAGGGAAAGACCTGTACCACGTAACTTCTCTACCTGGATGAAACACCTTCCCTATGGACATCGTGGTGTATCCATTGTTTTTCAGGTGCTCTGGCAACGTGGTGTAATTACCCGCCTCGTCGCGCCAGTAGTTGTAAAAATCGTAAAGCCGAAGGGTGTCCGGTCTTCTACTTGTCAGAAAGGAGTTTCTGCTGGGCGCGCATAACGCTTGCTGCAAAACGATCATTGATCAGCTTTATATAGATTCAAACAAGAAAAGACGAAACGCTCGAAAGGGTCCGTCGGAAGGTCAAGATTATGCGAGAAGTAAAAACCTGGGCGAATGCTTCGGTGAAGACAACGCTGTCCTCGGCCAGGGCATCTATATTCGGCGTGTACGCGTTAACGTCGCCATAGCATCCCAAAGTAGTTCTCAGATCATCGACGATGATCAGTAAGATGTTCGGACGCGCGACCACGGCGGCAGCATTACATGTCAGCGTAATCGCGACAAAATTAAAGCAGGTCACGGCGAACATCCTGTGATCATTGATGCATGCAAGACAGAAAAAAATGCGCTCGGTGCCGCGTTAGAAAGGCGTTCTCGTTCTCCTCGCCCGCGCCGTTTCCTCGTATATCGTTCCTGAAAAAATTGATGTCAGATCTTCATATTGTGTCATTCTACGCACGACAGACACATCGAGTAATTTAATTTTACATTAAATAATAATATCTTATGCTTATGCCACTAGAGTCTGCTAACATAATCAGACAGCAGATTGGCTGCAGAAACTGCGCAGACAGAGGCTACTGACAGATAATGTAAGTAGATTAGCAGCAGAAACCGCGCGCGTAGAGCCTGGACGGTTCTTGAAGGATCTGTTAAATAATTTGCTGTTTGGATTATATTAGCAGACTGTTATATTCTTCTGTTGGTGTTCTGCCGATATATGTGATGTATCAGAACCAGCATCAAATCTGTAGTCTTCCTGCTGACAAAATTTTGTCAGCAGATCGATACTTGGCAAGATCTGCTTTCGACTTGGTTGTCTGGGATCCAGGACAGCATGTCTAAAGTCGGGATATAAAACGTCTTAAAGACGTCATTAAGACGCTTTTTAGACATCATATATTATCTCGATTTTGGACATGCGTACTTTCTGGGGTATTAAATAATTTATTATATATATTAATGTATATATAATATAATGTTAAATAAATAATAATTTATAATATATATTAATATATTACTATGAAATAATAATATATTGAGCGTGGAGTAGTTTTGCAGAGTGCGCGGCAATCCTTTCGAACGCGACGCGCGCGAAGTCGTGCGCGTCAGCGGCGATGCGGCGATCATCTGATCAGCCTGAAGTCAGCTGACGTTCTCGCGATGGGCGGCCAACTTCACGGAGATCCGTCATCATCCGTCCGTCATCAGCGTCATCGAGCGATCGAGCATCCGTGTTTTGTCGCTGTGTCACTTGCGTCACTTCGTACTTTCGTAGCCTCGTTCCAATGTTGCTTCGCTGTACTTTGCTGTCAGCGATGTTTACGCCGCACGCATAATTCTCGACACGTCATCGCGACGATTATGCGAAGACATTACCACAACGATCATTTTATTTTCGCTCCTTAACTTATTTACTTCGCGGATCATTGTCGTCCACTCCTTGTCTACGTATTATTAGTTGCCGAGTTGCTCTAATGGCTATCAATGATCATTCGAGACAGCAAATTTCGATGTTTTACTTCGCCAGGCGCGCGAATCGATTTGCGTATCAGAGTCGATTGCAATAATTGTTTCGCTATGGCCATGGCCTCGCCTCGATTGTTAAACGGTTTGAACGTGTATAGTGTGCTGATCAAAAGTTTGATATCATATAAAATTTAAAAATATTCCAGTGAGATACTGAAAGTCCAATTCATGCCTTTCTCAATATTTTTTCTTAATTAATTTGAAAGTAAATGGGCATTATATTTGGCACAGTTGTGGTTAGTATAATATTTAATTTCAAGAAAATTAGACTATGGTCATAAATTAAGTCTTTCTTTCCAAAACGGAGCTGTGGATTATTTTGGAAGTTGGAAGTCTTCCGTTCTTCAGAAAAAATTAATAAACTTGTAGCTTATCTAGATTAGTAAAAAAAAGTAGTTCAATGCAAAAGTGGTTACCTTAGCGAAAAAAGTGTTAATACTCTTTTCATTTGTAAAAAATATATTCTTGTAGAACTTTAAAACACTTTATTATATTTTTTATTTTATTATAAAATAATAAATAAAATAAAAAATGTTAAATTATAATATATAAGTTGGGTTTTATTTCATATAGTAGACATTTTCAATTATAATCTCAAATTTTTGGCACGCAGTGTATATATACATATATATATTATTGTGTGTGTGTGTGTGTGTGTGTGTGTGTGTGTGTGTGTGTGTGTGT